AGTTATAGAAGTTGTTAAAATGAAAGTAAAAGATTATAGTAATATGAAAAAATAAAGATATGAGGCTGAAAAGAGAACTAGAGTAATTTCAGAAATTGTACAACTAGTATTAGAAAATTCAAATGAAAAATTACCTATCACCAAATCACAGCTTAAACTAAAAAATACTAAAAGTACCAAAGATTGAACTACCAAAGATAAAACGAAAATTCTTTGTACATTAAAAGCATATAAAAATCATCTTTTAGATGATATTATTTCTTCTGTTCGTGAGAAATTATCTGAAGTTTGAATTATAAAAAAGATGCAAGAATAATAAAATTATCATAAGAATAAGTGAATAGTGGTAAAACTAATTGTAAACATTGTTTTTCAATAAAATTTTATTTTTTGGAGAATTAATTGATATCAATAATAAATAATTAGCTTGTTTTATTAAACATATTTAAATTTATTAAAAAAAATGCAATTTCTACAAATTAAGTAATTAATAAAATAAAATTTAGCGATTTTCTTCAAAAATTACTACTCTAACCACTTTTTAGTGCCTAAGTATTTTGATTACGCATAAAATATTATATATAATTATGCATTTAAAATAGATTTTGAATATTATATAAACTTGCATCTGATTCAAAGTTAAAAAAATAGCAAAAAGTTAGCCTAATATAAAGTTTTTATAAAAAGTGTTATATTATAAGAAAACCAGTAGAATATATAAAGGAAAATCTTAAATAAAAAGTTCTTTAAGATTTTTTGATATGTTATTTAAAAAAAAAGTATAGCATTGCATTTGATCATTTACACCTAATTTTTATATTACATAAAATTTTAATTAGTGATTGACATGTGATCTAACATAACTACCAATTGATATACTTTTTTATATATATACTAGAATTAATGAAATATTATTGAACCTTTATATTTTATTATATATAATTTAACTCACAAACTAATAATTTGCAATTGATATAAAAATCTACAAAAATTCTTATTAAAATATAAAAATCCTTATAATAAAAGTTAAATAATCTAAAAATATGAATAATATATTATGGTTTAAAATTTTATTGATTGCTTTTAAAATAAATTAAAACTTATATTAATATATTTAATAAAATTAAAAACAATTATAATGATGAAAATAAAAATTCATAAATTATTATTATTATTATTTTATAAGAGCTTCTACAGATTCTGCAAATGTATATAATAAAAAATGTTATCTTAAAATATTTATAAGCAAACTGTATATTTTTATAATTAATAATTATTTTTTAATTTAAATAAATTTATAGTGATATAGAATATTATTAATATATGATGTATTATATATATAAATAATTTATTTTTATTATTAAAACAGATAAAATTATGAATATAAGATAATACAAAGGATTAGAAATAAATCTATCTAATCTTCTAGAATGATAATAGAAATAAATTTTCTTATAATAAATCTAATATTATATATAATATCAAAAATATTAATTTGATAATAATATCAAATTGATATTAAATTAATTTATATATATATATCATGATTTTAAGGTTTTGTAAAGTATAAAGTAAAAAAAACTAATAAAGATTTGAAATTAAATTATATTTATATTTTTGATTAAAGATCACTATTTTTAGTTTATTACATTAATCAAGATTTTTATTATAATCTACAAAAATTATAAAACGTACACAGTTTCACATGATTCGTGATTAAATAATAATATTCATTAACTTAATTCATTAATTCATCTTTTTAATTTCCACATTTTAGGAGGTAAAGCTAAAAAAAAAAAAAAAAATTTAAAAACTATAAAAAAATAATAGTAATCATTTTTATTTCTTACCTTGTAGGACTTTAATCTGCGGAATAATGAATCCAAACAACAAAAGAGTACCAATTGCAACCGTTGCGATTGATACAATATAATAACCATCTTGATGTATAACACAAGTGCCACCATTGTCTTTACATATCATTTTATCTTGCTCCGAAACACATTGTATTGCTAAACAAATATTCATATATTAGAAAATAGCTAATCTAATATAATTCATATATGTAAATGAATAAAAAAAACTTACTGCTAGTTGTATTACTTTCTTTAATGATGTTACATGTGGCATCTGTGAAATAATCAACAGCTTCTAGAACAAAGAACCTAGGCCACGTTCCTCCAAAGTTACTAAAGGTAGCCAACAACTGTAAAGGAACATTTAATATAACTTCGCTTTATAATACTTAATTATTAAAGGAAAAACTTACCGTCATATATGTTCCGCCTATAACTGGGTCAGCAATTGTAGTCATGAAAGCTGATATACTAACGAATTGTACGGTACTAATTCAGATCAAAACGATGTATTAATTGTCCGTCTGATATAATTTAACTTGGATTCAACTTCAAAATTAACCATAAATCACACCTCATAAACGAGCTCAAAACCGTGCTAGCTATCACAACAATGAACATTCCAGAGGAAATCTGCGTGTTACCCGGGAATATATATACAACCAACATTCCAACAATGGCAAAAAATAATCGGCCATAAAATGCTCTAATCCACTACGAAAATAAAAAAAATATTGAAGTAGTTATTCAGATTACGAGAAAATGTTAATATAAATGTAAACACTTACAGGCTTTAAAGGTTGCGGACCATTACTCCATTTGGCAGCATAATATCCAACTAAAATTTGGAATGGAAAATCAATCAACACAGCCAAAGCCAAGTCCTCTTTACCGAAGCCCTTTTCCAAAAGTTTCAATCCAGTAACCGCCTCATTTGCGATAAATCCAATTTTTGCCACAAGTAAAACTAAAATAAGTTTACGCATATCTAACATGTTTAAGGGAAGTAAATGATTAACACTTTGTGCATGTTGTTATACTAGCATACGTCATATAAAGTTTACGCGATAATCTTACGGGGCATTTTACAGATGTTCCATATCGTCTGATATACCGTTTTGATATCCATCTCATCGGAAGCATGAGTGGCATCCTAGAATGCAATCAATTTAAATCGCGCTTTCATAAGATTTTATATATGTAAATATTAAAACACAAACCTCTCCCTTAACGAAAATCAACCAAACAGTTACAACAAAATATAAGACGGACCAAAATGAAAGATATGATCCCAATGATATAAATCCAACATCGCTTGGTTCTGTCCTAAAGTATTTATTGCTAAAGTCGGCAGAGTTGAGTGCTAAAAATACCGTAAATGATAAAAAATATCCCGTATTCAACCCTATAGTCTGTGCCGTTGATGCATAAGAAAGACTGTTCTTGGATAATAATGTCAACGCCCATCCTAATAATTTATTTTTTTTTTTTTTAAAAAAAAAAAAAAAAAAGATTAATGAATAAATAATAATGATAAAATCTAATTTATTAAAATTCTTACCATCAACAGCGATATCTACAATTATAAAAACAAAGAATTTAAAATTATATTATATAAATGGATAAAATTTATACAAATGAAAATAAGCGTTTGATACCTTGTGTAGCCGAAAAGAATATCAATATAAAAAATAATAATGTCAAAGTAAACACGTCAGGTTTTTCTTCATCAAAAATTACATCCACATTATTCCCGAGCCAGAAAAATAAACTTCCGGTTAACAGTTGAATCGGTATGATCCAACTTTTTCTGCGCCCAACCTTCTTTGAATAAGTAGCATCAACAATCGGTGACCATAATAATTTTAAACTATAAGGGTAAGACGCCAAAGAAAAGAACCCAATTTGCGAATATGATAATTTTGATTTTAGAAGAAATGGAATTGAACCAAATGCCAATCCGACAGGAATTCCCTGTAATAAATCTGTAAATCATTTCATTGTTAGCGATCGAACCAAAAAATAAAAATAAAAAAAATAAAATAATATAAATATAAATAAGCAATGTTTTACTCACAAAGTACAACGAGTAATGCTACATTCTGATAATCTTGTGTAGATAAACGAGGGTACGCTTCAACACTGATTCCACTGGTTTCTGTTGAGGCGCCCAGAGTTTCCAAGAGAATTTCCTCTTTCTCGTCGTCATCAACAAAGTTTCTTTGCTTCGTTTCACCAAAACCTTCAGAACTTGTACTCAACATTCCTTCATTTAAGGAAGGATTAGAATTTGCTGTTGGGGTTTGTAAATTGATAATATTGATTTTAGAATTAGTGTTACTTGGAATTAGGATTGAATTTGAGGTTGTGGTTTCAAAATTATTCCGTTCATGTGAAACACGTCGTATAAGATAATCTTCTTCTATGTCTAAATGAAAGCCCGTCGGATTTGAATCACTATTGGCTTCATTTGAAAAGGATCATGATAATTTAATGAATCGGGGTAGATGTTTTTTTGCAGAATTTATCATGATTTCTAAAATATGAAATAATCCTTTTTTTGGATAGATCAAAATATTCTCACGTGCTAACCTGATTTACCTGACATCCGTGTGTAAAAAAAAAAAAAAACCAAAATTACTTTTAGAATCCCGAATTTGGGGAGGAAGTGAGAAAGAAGTCGAGGAAAAAAAAAAAAAAAAAATTATAGCGGTATATATAATGTATAATTACTATTTTTGGAATTGGTAGAATTCGTTGAAGATCGGTAACTTGTCGTCCTTTCATTCGTTTATTACCAAAGATAATTAGTTAAATTAAATTAACTTTTCTAAAAAAGACGCGACTTGTATTATTTATATAATTCCGAGTCCGCGCCAGATTAACCAATTAAGTCTCGCTTTGTTATAAAGATTCATTTACCCAAATCTTTTAAATATAAGATATAGAGATTAATGAGGCTCATAATTAATGCAATGGCTGAGCACGCGAAACCCGCAAAGCCATTATTCGGATCGATTGAGATACAATTCCAGATTTCGCTAATGAGTACATATTTAGGTTATCATTATTGAAATCGGACAGATGATATTCCGAATGCAATAAATTACCGGACCCATTTCTTATCATTCCGAGCGTTACACATTCATAAGATAAAACAATTTTTAATTAAATTTAATAAATTTCGGATTCTCTTCTTATTTTAATCCATTATCAAAGAATGATACAATATTTTTTGTAAAAAGAAAGAGAAAATCATTTTATTATTCATAAACTCGTTTGTCAATGTATCGTCCTTGATAAAAATTTTAAATATTTAAAATTAATTATTGCATCCAATGCAGATGATCAAAAATTATGCTATGCAAAATGTAACAAATGTATTTAATTTTTCTCGCGCATCCCTTTTTCGTGTCGAATATAATTTACTTGCATCAAAAAAAAAAGCATAATGCTATTTCTCATAGTAAGTTAATGAAATGAATACCTTTAATATTTTAACATTAAATAATTATTTACTGTAAACATTTTCCTGTAATTGTAATTTGTTCCTCTATTACTCCATTACTATAAAGGTAAAAATACAAAGCAGTACTTAATATAATAGACTACGCTTTCAGATATAAGATCTCAGTCCCTCTTAAATTAAAGAAAAGTTTTGAAGTTACTAAAGTAATTAGAAGGGTTTTGATTCAAATCGATTTTCAAAGAATTGCGGGAACGTTTTTGTTAGAAGAGCTGTCCCGCCCACATCTTTTCACATCTTTAGGATCGTAATCTCCGAATAAAAAACAAATTATTTTATAAAATAAACATCATGATGATATGTAATATATTGATTGCCTTTGCCGGCACGTGCAGAAGTTGTAGTGAGTGCAAGAGACTTTATATATTTTGGACCAAAGAAAGTCCATGTTTATATGCTGCTGAAACCTCACGCAACCTTTCGACCTGATTGTAAAGTGTGTACATCAAATACGGAATTGGTTATAAGCTGGTGTTGATTTCAACACGAAAGATGGAATTTTTATAAATTTAAGGTTACAACTTTCATTATGCAATAGAACAATGGTTTTGACTTGGTGCAAAAAAAATCCGCAGTGTAATGCGACCACAACATTTGATCTAAAGCACATGTTACTTATGCTGATCAACATCGAAACGAAATAAATGTTCTTTAATCATTTTAATTTATTTAACAAATCTTCCTTTACACC